CAACTTGGGCCAGTGAAGCAACGTCCTCCACAACTAGACTGAAGAACAAAAGGACAGCAACTTGTCTGTTCCCCTTCCCCCAATTCCCCAGTGCTGGTCCTATCCCCCAATTCCCCAATAAAATCTCAAAAATAAAAAAGAATGGGCTATTTACCTTTAAACAATGATGTATGTATTTCTTGTGCATACTCTTTAAACTGTCTTCCAAAGAGTTCCTATTTTAATTACTATTAATCCACAGCAAAGGTACTCTTGACATGGACATTTTTAATTACAAATTATAAAAGGTTTTAGAAGTCAAGAGTTTTAGTAATAAGGGAGAGCTGGGTTGAAGCTTTACTCCTACTAGCTATGTGGCTTTGAGCAAGCTAATCTTTTGAATCCTTGGGTTTTGTTTGCTTGTTTGTTTTTCAGTTGTGGTGGGTGTTTTGAATAAAGAAGACATCTTCTCTCTCACAGGGTTATGAGGAGCAAAGAAGATCACACACACCACGTTATGAACAAGAATCACTGGTCAACACGGCTGCTCTACTTCATCAGCAGCTGAGGCAGCAGTCTATTTCATTCAACATTTCACACCTGAATTGCTGAAGTTGTCTCAAGTGGATTCGCTAGGTGATGTGAGTTCACAAATGCCCCACCGATCCAAGAACTGAAAGAAATAAGGTTAAAAACTCCACCCACGAAAGAAATACAGAGTGAGTGCAAGTTTTAGCAAAAATGTCAGCTGTGATTCACAGTACTTACATTGCATTTTTATTCTCACTGACTTTAACCATCACTATGCCTCAAGTAAGTGTGGGGCCAGCTGATGAAAATGTCAGTGAACCCCAAATACCATTTGAAGCATCAAGAGTTGGGATCCAACCTTACATCTTTCAAAAGGTATAATCTTCTCATATTGAACATGGCCCTGGATGTTGCCAACCTAGAAAGTCTTCCGTTAAGATAAAAAAACAAGGGCCAGCCGAGTGGCGCGATGGTTAAGAACTCGCTTGGGATGCCAGAGGGCCCCGGTTCGGATCCCACATACGAGGGCCAGTGACACTGCCCTCCACAGCTAAGATGCTGAACGACAGCTCAACCTGGAGCTGGGCTGCTGTGAGTCGCCGGTGACGACGTAGGCTGNACTCCCGCATGGGATGGTGGCTATGCCCACCCACAACTAAGACTGAACACAGCACGTTGAGCTTAGAGGCCATGAGCTGCTGACAGGAAGCCAGGTGGCGACTGGCACCCTGCACAACGAAGATTGAAGAACAACAACTTGGCTGGTCCCCCTCCCCAGTTCCCCAACACTGTTCCCCTCCCCCAATTCCCCAATAAAAATCTTAAAAAAAGAACAGGGCAATAATAGTAAATCACTGATAAGATAAGATGGTAGAACTATTCTACTAATTTTCATAGGACAGTGCTTAGAATATTTCCAGACACATAGTAAACTCTTAATATATTACACTATCAATATATTACATTTGATAAATTTGTTCAATTACAAGTGTATCTGCCCTAAAAGCAATGACTTTCAAGAAAAAAAGTTAATACAAGAGTGTCAAATCACAAGTCTATTAATAGGGAACTGGTTTAAACAAATTGTAGTACAGCTATACAGTTAAATATTATGCCACCTTAAAAGAGATAATAAATAAAATATAAAAATAGGATAAAATATAAATAAAATAAAAAATAAATAAAATATAAAAATAAAAAAGGACAAGCATTTGAAAAATTTGATGTGGAAAATTTCTAATACATATACATGAAAAACCAAGTTGAAAAAACATAATCCCATTTAGAAAATAAGTATATACTGTTTGTATATGTGTAAGAAAAAATCTGGTAGAAACCACCAGACTAAAAAGATACCACAAATTTTGGGTGGCAATTTCACTTTCTGCATTATATATTGCTATAGTATTTGTTTTTTTAAATAGTAAGTACGTATGACTCTTATAATCAGAAAAACATTAATGTAAAGGCACATTTAGAACCTTCTTTACCTGAGTTTGTTCACATAGTTTTCAGTGTTCATTCTTCTTTAGCACATGAGCAGCTCAAGTCTGTCTTTAGAACAGTGTCAGAAGCTGTTATATGAGCTGTTTCCTGTAACGGGCAGCTATTTTTAATTAACGAACATTTTGTTATAAGAGCTCACTGGAAAATAAAACACCACCATTTCTGCAAGTTAAACTAAAGAAAGGTTTACTCTCTAAAACACAATGAAAGAGTTAAACCAACATTTTGGAGTATTTTTTGCATATAAATATTTTTTAAAAATAAGTATTTCAATCATCTTTACCTCCTTCCCTTTGCCTCTCATTTCCACAATGCATCCTTTGCTATGGCCAGTATACCTCTCTGGCTTTAATCCCTATCACAAACTGAAGCTATAGGTAGAACAGCTATTACACACAACTTAGAAATGAACAGAGGCAAAAAGAATAAAGTGACTTATACAACAAGTCAAGACTGTAATTAAGGATAAAACTACCATAGTTTAATGTCTATTACACAAGGAGGCGGTATAACAGTTATACGTGCTCCACCACTTATCGAACTATGACCCTCAATATTAAGCTAAACTAAGAGTGGCTTGGTTTTCTCATCTGTAAAAATTGGAATAATAATAGTATCTACCTTCATTGAGATTTTGAGATTTCATGAGATAAAATGCGTAAAGCACTGTGAACCCTGCTTGGAACATAAGAAGCTCTCAACAAAATTTATCCATTCTTCTTATTATTTTTTAATCAGTCTTTCAACAGTTATGTAATATACCGTATTTCCCTGTGTATAAGACATATCCTTTTCCAAAAAATTTGGGGTCTAAAAATTGGGTGTGTCTTATACAGTGGTTGTAGATTTTTTTACTTGCATTTCTGCTTTTTTCGCACTTGTTTTTGCACTCATTATAGATTTTTTTACTTGCATTTCTTGCTTTTTCGTGCTTGTTGTCTTTGCACTCATTGTTTCACACTTGTTACCAGTATATTATGGTAGGTTATGTTTTGCCACATTCTGTCCAGAAATGGCTCAGAAAAGATTTTCATACAGTGCAGAATTCAAGTTAAAAGTGATCCAATTTGCGAAAGTGAATGGAAATCATGCTGCTGAACATAAGTTTGGTGCTCCTCCAACTGAGAAAACACTCTGAGACTGGCTACGGAAAGAAGAAACCCTACTGAAATCGCCACGGCAGAAGAAGGCCATGAGAGGTCCCGGTGCTACTGCTGCCAAGTCCAGATCCAACTCTGCGCGCCACAGATGCCCGCTCACTCTCTGTGCACTCCTGATTCCTTTTGGTTCTAAATCCAATATGACAACTGTCAAGGATCAGCTGATTTTAAATCTTCTTAAGGAAGAACAAAGTCCCCAGAATAAGATTACAGTCATTGGGGTTGGTGCTGTTGGCATGGCCTGTGCCATCAGTATCTTAGTGATGGACTTGGCAGATGAACTTGCTCTTGTTGATGTCATGGAAGACAAATTGAAGAGAGAGATGATGGATCTTCAACATGGCAGCCTTTTCCTTAGAACACCAAAGATTGTCTCTAGCAAAGACTATAATGTGACTGCAAACTCCAAGCTGGTTATTGTCACAGCTGGGGTACGTCAACAAGAGGGAGAAAGCTGTCTTAATTTGGTCCAGCGTAACGTGAACATCTTTAAATTCATCATTCCTAATGTTGTGAAATATAGCCCCAACTGCGAATTGCTTATTGTTTCCAATCCAGTGGATATCTTGACCTATGTGGCGTGGAAGATAAGCGGCTTTCCCAAAAACCGTGTTATTGGAAGTGGTTGCAATCTGGATTCAGCCAGGTTCCGTTACCTAATGGGGGAAAGGCTGGGAGTGCACTCATTAAACTGTCATGGTTGGGTCCTTGGGGAGCATGGAGACTCTAGTGTGCCTGTATGGAGTGGAGTGATTGTTGCTGGTGTCTCCCTGAAGACTCTGCACCCTAACATAGGCACTGATGCTGATAAGGAGCAGTGGAAAGAGGTGTACAAACAGGTGGTTGAGAGTGCTTATGAGGTGATCAAACTGAAAAGCTACACATCCTGCGCCATTGGACTATCTGTGGCAGATTTGGCAGAAAGTATGATGAAGAATCTTAGGCGGGTGCCTCCAATTTCCACCATGATTAAGGGCCTCTATGGAATAAAAGATGACGTCTTCCTTAGTATTCCTTGCATCTTGGGACAGAATGGAATCTCAGATGTTGTGAAGGTACCACTCTGATACCTGAACAAGAGGCCCATTTGAAGAAGAAGGCAGATACACTTTGGGGGTTCCAAAAAGAGCTGCAGTTTTAAAGCCTTCTAATGTCATGCCACTTCACTGTCTAGGGTACAACAGGATTTCAGTTGGAGGTTGTGCATATTATCCTTTTTATCTGATCTGTACTAAAGCAGTAATATTAAGACAGCCTAGGAAAAACATGAATTTCCTAAAGTTAGAAATAGGAATGGTTCATAAAACCCTGTGGCTATATCCTGATGCAGGGTGGTACTTATCTCGTCCTAAACTGGTTAGTGTGAAATAGTTCCACCCCCTCAAAGGCACCACCACTGCCAATGTCACACACGCTACAGTTGCCCTTCAAACTAGACATGTGTTTACTCTGCATTAGGTAACTTCTGGTTCCTTTACCCTACGTGCCTAGTCTAACTTTTTTCCAGCCTCACATCCTGGGATCCAATCTACTGCAAATCGAAAATTGCATGACTTGTGCGTAAGTGTTCAAAAGGATCTTATTTTGTGTACTAAATGTATCAGAGTATACTGGAATATAATGTAAAAAGAAAAGTCTACATACAAATAATGCAGCCAACTATCCAAGTGTCATGCCAACAAAAACGCCAAATAAACCTTGAACAGTGAAAAAAAAAAAAGAGAAGGCCATGAGAGGCAAGTCAGCAAAATGACCACATTTAGATAGGGAATTGAAGATATGGATTGAAGAGCAAAGGGCAATTGGGTGATTCATCATCAGACACAGATGAGGACAAGATAATGGTTGGGAGTTTTGGCAGTGATGAGGCATTGTATGAATTTTATGATGAATAAAACTTGAGTTCAAAAACTTTATGTAATATATATTTTTTTCAAATATCAGGCCCCAAAATTAAGGTGCGTCTTATACATGGGAGCATCTTATACATGGGGAAATGCGGTAAGTGCCCTACTCACATTTGTCCTTTTTCTTTAATCTTTTGTAGAATCAAGAATTTCAGCTGGATGAGGCCAATTGCACTCAGAAACTATGGCTAATATAGTCTTCATTTGCATTGCATGCTTCATTGGGTCACATGCAAATAAGTGCTTAGCAAAACTTTAAGAAAACCTTGGGACAACTTAAAGAACATTTCTACCAGTTGAAAGAAAGAAAAATCACAACTTAAAGAACATTTCTACCAGTTGAGTTGACCACTTGTTGGCTATGTGAAATAGCCAGCAAGTGCAAAACTTTAATTTTTCCTCATGGGATCACTTTACAAACACTCACAAAACAGCCTTGATGTGGCTATATTCTAAACCCAAGAAGCAAATTCAGTGTGTGGTCCTCTTCCTTTGCCATTGTTGACCTCGGGCCTTTATTCATGACATTCGGTTACTCTGCCCAAATGGATTAATGCTTCTGCAAAGAAGCCGGCAGAAGATCAGAAGACCTGAGTTCTCATTTAAATTCTCACACAGCTTTTGCAGACCTCAGTGTTGCCAACAATGACACCACCTGCCCCCTTACTTCAGTTTCTTCAGAGCAAATGCTGTAAAGACAGCAAACCATTAACACACAGGCGTTTACCACAGGCTTCCAGGTTTGCTGCACAGAGGAGAAAAAATATTTGTGGTGACCATATCAATGTTCCAATGAAGCCTTCTTAAGTATCTGAAGTACAAAGTCAAGAATGGGCTATTTTGGGCCGGCTGAGTGGCGCATTGGTTAAGAGCTAGCTTGGGACGCCAGAGGGCCCCGGTTTGGATCCCACATATGAGGGCCAGTGACACTGTCCTCTACAGCTATTATGCTGAACAACAGCTCAACCTGGAGCTGGGCTGCCGTGAGTCAGCCCTACGATGGCGAAGGCTGCAGCCCCTGCTGCAGTGGGTTGCCATGGGCTACCATATGTAGCCAGCAGCCAGCGTGAGCAGCCAGCAGCCACCGTGAGTGGCCGTCCAGAAGCCGGCGACTGATCTGCCTTGCCCGGGAAGAGTGCAATGATGGTGCCAACTTGGNCCAGCTCCAGGTCAAGCTGTTGTTCAGCATCTTAGCTGTAGAGGGCAGTGTCACTGGCCCTCATATGTGGGATCCGAACCGAGGCCTTCTGGCGTCCCAAGCCAGCTCTTAACCAACGCGCCACTCAGCCGGCCCTATCTTCTTTTTTTTTTTAACTTTATTGGGGAACAATGTGTTTTTTCCAGGACCCATCAGCTACAAGTCAAGTTGTCCTTCACTCTTGGTTGTGGAGGGCGCAGCTCAGCTTCAAGTCCAGTCGCCATTTTCAATCTAGTTACAGGGGGCACAACCCACCATCCCATGCGGGAGTCCAACTGGTAACCTTGTGGTTAAGAGCACGTGCTCTAACCAACTGAGCCACCCAGCCGCCCCCTCTAATATCTTTTTGAAGGGAGTGTCTGTTGCCAGTTAAGTTTCCTGTCCCTCCTTATTATTGTATGTTGGGTGGGGGAGAAGAGTAAACCATTTGTCCCTATAGTTCACAGGTATTCAGTTTGAGATTAGCTGTATTGAAAGAGCCTCATTGGCACCTAAACCCAATTGAGATGAGATCCTGGACTCAAGCTGATGTAATAATGTTGTGAGACTCGAAGGTCTTGTGTGTGGGTTAACACATTTTGCACACGTGAGGGGCCAGAGAGCACACTGTGGTGAACTGTTGTTTTGGTGATTAACCCCAATGAACTACATTTCTGGGTATTCATGTCCTTGTACAGTCCCTTCCCACATTGACTCTGGGATGGGCCTATTAATGCTTAGTGTAGACCATTAAAATAAGGCAGAAATGGTGGAGGGCCAGTTCTGGGCCTAGCCCTTAATGGATTGGGTAGCATTCACTTCTTCCTTTTTGGAATGCAGATACTACAAGGTGACCCAAGCAGCCACTGGATCCCAGCTGAGCTCCTATCCAAGCCTCAGAGGACTGCAGCCATTCCAGCATCCAGCCAACACCCCATGAAACAGAACTGCCTGATCAACCCATTGAATCATGAGGTTATAAGTTGCTGTTTTAATCTATTAACTTTGGGGATGGTTTACTACACTGCAATAAATAACCAAAACACAGGTCCCTTTTGGTGTATTTTAAACTTCAGTTCTCTCTAGTCATGATAGGCTAGTTAATTATTAAAAAATATAATATGGAATAACTTGTACCCCTTAAAATTTAATGCATCATACCCAGGATGAATTTAACAAACATATAAGCAAATGAGATATGACTTTTCTTAGACTTTACCTTAGAGACAGAACTTAGAGCGTAAGTCACTACTAATGACAAAATTTAACTTTATTGGGGAACAATGTGTTTTTTCCAGGACCCAAAACGTAAGAGTTTTCATGTACAGTAGAAAGCAATAAGCAGCTACCCAGGCCATCAGGGAGCGCTGGCCAAGGATGGAGAGCTCAGCATTAACTGATATCTCTTGATGCTCAGCAAGGCATGCCAAGAGTACAGATAAATCTAAGGAAACACCCTGTGTATCAAGTAAATTCACAACAGGAATTGGGAAGTCAGCAAGGGATACACAGACACCAAGTAATCTGTGGCAATAGCCAGGGAATCCTGAAGGCACAGTCATAAGGGTTAAGATGGCAGGTCTTCCAAAGCCTGTTGTTATGGCAACCAGCAAAGATTTTTAACATCAGTAACTCTAATAAGAATTTGTAAGCTCTGCTTTCTTATGCTGCTTAGCTCCTTCTGCTTAGCTCCTTTGGATTTAAAGGGCCCTCACATGTCTGATCAGTCACTGTGTCTTTCAGTCCATCCTGTGGATGGCCATGGTAGCATACAGGGGGCCTGAAGGCTTTCTGCATCTCAAGAACAGGGCAATAGGGCTGGCCAAGTGGCTCAGTTGGTTAAGAGTTGGCTTAAGAGCATGAGCTCTGAGCAGCAGGGCCACCGGTTCGATTCCCACATGGGCCAGTGATGCTGCGCCAGAGCTGAGCTGCCAACAGGTGGCAGGATGGCTCAGCTGGTGTAACAAGATTGCCTGTTCGATGGTGGGCTATGCCCACCTGCAGCTAAGACTGAATTCGGCACCTTGAGCTGGGCTTCCGCCCAATGGCTCAGTGGATAGAGCGTGTGCTCTTAACAACAAGGCTGCTGGTTC